TCTAAGTGACAGTCTTAGGAAACAGCAGCCCCCGTGGATGTTCTTTGGTGTACCATCCTAATGGGTACTCATACAATTAGCTCATTCTTTTTTAAAATTTGTAGAATAAATGATTCAATACTTAGGAGATGCCTCCATCATATTTGCTGTTTGCCCAATCTCAGAAGGTCATCTTAGACATTTACATGTCTTCCAAGTTTTGAGCAAATTAGGGTAAGTGGAGATACTCTTCTGTAAATGAACATTTTCTGGTTATCGATATTGGTTCTCTTATAAATGGATGTAACTACCATGCCAAGAAAAAAAGTACTCCATAACCATTTACACCAAATATTCCAATTCTTTCATTGAGTTAGCACATTATCATTCCCAGACATCAGAAGAACTTAACGCTGGTTATATTAATGTCATTTCTGTATAATATTTGGTTGGGTTTTGTTTTGATTGGCTTTTTCCATCCCATTTCCCCCCATACCGCCTACTATTTTGAAATTTATACACACTTGCTACTGTATTGTTTTCATTAAACTTTAGAAATTTGAACATGCATACTTAATAAAGTTTGAGGTTAAAAAGATTTACAGTTGCTTCTGCCAGATGCCTGGGGCACTACCAAAGTGGGAACACTTTAAACTAAATTTTTAGCTCTGGATATTATTTTTCTGTATAGGAATTATAAATTTAGGGCACAATATTATGAATACTGGCTTGTGGTTATGACTTCTCAGGGGAGATTTTTCTTCACTGCACGTGGCACACAGGTAGAAAAAGGCAACTTTCCTAGGTGTCTCATTTGACTTCAAATACAGTGGTTATGCAAATGTCTATTAGATTTTCCTCCTTGGATGGGCCTTATTTTTTTTAATATATATATATATGTTATATATTATATAATATACATTATATAATATATATATATATATATTTTATTTATTTCAGAGAGGACTGGAGAGGGAGAGAGAGAGATTGAAACATTAATGATGAGAGAGAATAATCGATTGGCTGCCTCCTGCATACCTCTCACTGGAAACCGAGCTTGCAAGTGCCCTGATCAAACGAACTCCTGGTTTCATGGGTTGATGCTCGACCACTAAGCCACACCAGCTAGGCTGGGCCTTCTTTATCTCCTGCATTCAGTGTCCCACCCTTTACCCCACGTTCAGTAGGAGCTAGAATAGATTACCTGTGTACACTCATATATTCTGAAAATTCTTTACATTTTGCCTTCTTGGGAATTGCTTTTAAGGTGTGCATTTTCTATCTATCTATATATCTACACTAATAAAAGAAACATGCAAATTGGTGTCACTCCGCTACCCTTCCCATTGGCTAATCAGGGTGATATGCAAATTAACTGCCAGCCAAGATGGCGGCCGGCAGCCAGGCAGCTTGAAGCGAACATGAGGCTTGCTTGCTTCAGTGACGGAGGAAGCTAACGTTCCCCGCCTGCCGCTGCCAGCCTCTGAGCTTGCAGTTTGAAACATTGTTACAAATATAGAAGCTAAACAAAACCCCAGAAACCTGCTTTCAGCCAGCCGGGATCTCAGAGCTGGAGTTGAAACAGTGTTTCGATTATGGAACCCAAACAAACCAGATACCTGCTTTCAGCACCCGAGGCCTAAGAGCTGGAGCCAAGCCTCAGAGCTAAAGCTGGCCCAGAATAAAAAAAAACGAAAGAAAAAAAGTGGTTGGGAGCTTCAGTCACCTGCCAGCCTGAAAACAGCCCTCAGCCCCTCACCCAGAATGGCCAGGCACCCCAGTGGGGACCCCCACCCTGAAGGGTGTGTGACCAGCTGCAAACAGCCATCATCCCCTCATCCAGGCTGGCCAGGCACCCCAGTGGGGACCCCCACCCTGATCCAGGACACCCTTCAGGGCAAACCAGCCAGCCCCCACCCGTGCACCAGGCCTCTATCCTATATAGTAAAAGGGTAATATGCCTCCCGGCACCGGGATCAGCGTGACAGGGGGCAGCTCCCAGCACCAGGATCAGTGTGACAGGGGGCAGTGCCAAACCCCCTGATCGCCCTGCAGCTCTGTGTGTGACGGGCAGGGCCACAACGACCAGGCCTGGCCAGGAAGGTCGGGAGGGGACTGACAGAGTTTTGAGAGGTAGCGTCTGTACAGCTCTCGCTCATGAATCACAGTTTATGAAAACTGTTTGGGAAACTTGATACCCAGAGGTACAGACACCTGTTTGGAAGGAAACACAACGTGCTCTGTGCGCAGCCTGAGCAGAGCCGTATGCCTAGTAGTTTCAGATGCTTCATCATCCTTAGACGGTGGTGCCCCCAGGTGGTAAGGAGGGACTGTGGCTGGGATCCAGGGCTCACCTCTGTCATCTCGGTAGTTGTAGTCTCAGGAGAAAGTCAAAGGCC